GGAGTCTGATGCTCAATCCACTGAGCCACCCAGGCGCCCCTAATGTTTATTTGTTTTTGAGAGAGACAGAGTATGAGTGGGGGGACGGGCAGAGAGAGAGAGGGAGACAGAGAATCCAAAGCAGGCTCCAAGCTGTCAGCGCAGAGTCTGACTGGGGGCTGGAACTCACGAACCATGAGATCATGACCTGAGCCAAAGTCAGACACTTAACCAACCAAACCACCCAAGTGCTCCATGAGAGACTCTTAACTATAGAAAACAAACTGAAGGTTGCTGGAGGGGAGGTGGGTGGAGGATGGACTAAATGGGTGATGGGCACAAAGGAGAGCCCTTGTTATGATGAGCGTTGGTGTTATGTTTAAGTGATGAATCACTAGATTCTGCTCCTGAAACCAATATTACACTATATGTTAACTAACTAGAATTTAAATAAAAACTTGAAACAAAACAAAATATGGCATATCCATAATGTAATATTATTTGTCAATAAAAATAATACATGCTACTACATGGATAAACTTTGAAAACATGCAAAGTGAAAGAAGCCAATCACAAAGACCACATACATATTTGCATGATTCCTGTTGTATGAAATTTCCAGAATAGACAAAATTATAAAGACAGAAAATAAATTAGTGGCTTCTTAGATCTGGGGAGGAAGGGGGATGGGGAATGATTCTAATGGAGAGTAGTGGAGTTTCTTTCAGGAGAGATAAAAGTGTTCTAGTCAATTAATCTAATTACCGTCCATTTAAAAAATTTTCTTGATGTTTATTTATTTTTGAGAGATACAGAGAGCAAGCAGGGGAGGGGCAGAGAGAGAGGGAGGCACAGAATCTGAAGCAGGCTCCAGGCTCTGAACTGTCAGCACAGAGCCTGATGTGGGCCTCGAACTCATGAACCGTGAGGTCATGACCTGAGCCGAAGTCAGATGCTTAACCAACTGAGCTACCCAGGCACCCCTAGTCACTGTCTATTTTAATGAAAGTTGCACAAACTGAAAATGTACTAAAAACTATTGACTTGATCACTAGAGTGGGTGAATTGTGTGGTATGTGAATTATATCTCCATAAAGCTGCTTATTTGTTTGTTTGTTGCTACTTTTATAAGTGATTCATAAGACTTTTTAAAAAAAGAGTTCAGGTGTTCCTGGGTGGCACAGTAGGTTGAGTGACTCTTGCTTTTCGCTCAGGTCATGATCTCAGGGTAGTGGGATCGAGCCCCATGTCTCCACGTAGGGCTCTGCGCTGGGCATGGAGCTGCTTGGGATTCTCTCTCTCCCTTTCTCTCTCCTCTCCCCTTTAAGTTTATAAATAAATAAACTTACAAAATAAAATAAAATAAAAAATTAAATTAAAAAAGTGTTCACATTGTGTATCATCACCCAGAGTTTGTTAAAATTCAGATTGCTAGGCCCCATCCCAGAGTTTCCAACTCAGTATGACTGGGGTGGAGCCTAAGAAACTGCACTTCTAACAGATTCCCAGGTGATCTTGAGGGTGTGACTCCTCAGGAACCCCACTTTG